ATGCTGATGCTGATTCTGATGCTGATGCTGATGCTGCTGCTGCTGATGATGCTGCTGCTGCTGCTGATGATGATGATGATGATGATGATGATGCGGATGATGATGACGATGATGCTGATGATGATGATGATGCTGATAATGCTGCTGCTGATGATGATGGTGGTGATGATGATGCTGATGATGCTGATGGAGATGTTGATGTTGGTGCTGCTGCTGCTGTTGTTGTTGTTGCTGTTATTGTTATTGTTGTTGTTATTGTTCTTGTAGTAGTAGTAGTAGTAGTAGTAGTAGTAGTAGTAGTAGTAGTAGTAGTAGTAGTAGTTGTAGTTGTCGTTGTTGCTGTTGTTGTTGTTGTTGTTGTTATTGTTGTGAATGATGATGCTGATGCTACGGATGAGGATGCTGATGATAATGATGCTTCTGCTGCTGCTTATGATGATGATGGTGATAATGATGATGATGATGAGGAGGAGGAGGAGGAGGAGGAGTAGGAGGTGGAGGTTGAAAAGGAGGAGGAGGAGGCGGTGCCGATGTTTGTAAGGAGGAAGCGAAGGTGAGAGGTTAATTTGGGAGGAGGAGGAGGAGAAGGGAAGGGAGGGGTGAGAATAACGAGGGACATTCGAGAAGGGAGGAGTGAGGAGGACCAGGACGAGGAGGATGAGGAGGATGAGGAGGAGGGGGGAGGGGGATGATGATGAGGAGGAGAGGAGGATAGGTGGGGCAGGAGGAGGAGGAGGAGGAGGAGGAGGAGGAGGAGGAGCAGGGGAGAGGAGACGGGGAACGGAGATGCAAGGAGAGGGTGGGTGGTTGTATGGGAGGAGGACATGGGGGGGTGCGAGGGGGAGAAGGAGCGGACTAGCCAGGTGAATGACTTCCTCTCGTTCTACTCCCTGCCCTCCAGTATCCTCAACAACCCGAAGCACGACAACCTGCAGGCGGCGTACTCGTATTGGAACGTCGCGACCACGGTGCCGCTGCAGGACAGCTGCCACTTCTCCGTGTCTTCCGGGTGCGACTCCTTGTGCTTCGTGGTCCACATCCTAGGTCCTCCACGTCCTCCCTGTCCTTCGCGTCCTTCCTCCCCCTCTTCGTCGTTCCCGCCTTTGCCCTCGTCGTTCGTTCTCGTCCTTGTGCTGTCTCTCCCCTCTCCCTCTCCTCCTTGGCCTGTCCCCCAAAGAGGACCTGATGTACGATGCCCTCATCCTCGCCAACAGGCTGGGTCCAGACGGCTCTGCCCCAGGCCGCCCTGCAGCAAGAGAAGGGGACGGCAAAGAAAGCAGGGAGGAGGGGCAGGCGATGGGGAGAGGACGGGGGAGTATCGGCGGCGGGATCAGGAGCAGAATGAGCCGGCGGTGGCGGTGACGATGACGACGACGATTGGGGCGATCAGGAGGGGGACGAGGAGGACGAGGACGGGGGCGGATGGCGAGGGTGAGCACGAGCGGGACGATGATGTGGGGGATGAGGGAGGGTGGGCGAGGGTGGGCGAGGGACTAGCGGGCATCGGTGGGAGGAGGAGGAGGAGAAGGCAGGGATGAGGAGGAGGAGGAGGAGGAGGATGACTTGAGGTAATATGGCTTTGGGCCGCCTGAACCTCGCCAGTGGGCCCAGTTTCCTGGTGTCACCAGCCTGTAGGGCACGGTGGCCCGACGAAGCAACGTGGCCATCTTGGTCCAGACACTGCGGGAAGGTAGACGACGCATGAGAACCTGACGCGATATGTGTCGCCTATCCTCGTGCAGAGAGGGAAAAGTGAAGAACTTCTCAGAAAATGGATGTCGAGAGCTATGCGTTCTTGTGGGAACCTGGTGAAGGCATGCGTAGGTTAGCTCCTGGCACACAGGTTAGCTGGGCAGCTCACCGGTGCACTCTTGCCTCTTTCTCTTCCAGTGCGATGCATTGCATCGTGTTGCCGCAGGGGCCCACATGCCCCAGGTGACCAGAAAACGTTTCCCGTTTTCTGGCTGGAGTTTCCGCCAGTGCTAAGGAGACCACTCATTGATGTGACAGGGGGCATGATTTGTCCGCCCCAGCGTGTCCTCATAAGCACTGGGCAAACTAGGTCCCTATAGGGCTCTCACCAAAGGGGGGTGGCCTCCTAAGGTGCTCATGTGCGTGCTTCACGCTCGGGCGCGCGCCGATTAACAAATCCTCTGGTGTGCCTACATGAAAACTCTGATGAGGCAAACTATCGTGGTGCAAAGTCCAGAGTGCGATCGACGCACCATCTCCGTGACATTTGGAGGGGGCAGGATTTTTCCGCCTCTGTTTCGCCTACACGTTGCCATTGGGTTGGAGGGTAACCTGTCTGGACGGGCCAAGCTTCGCTTTCTGGTATTGTGCGGTGCTGTGATGTGTGGTGCGTGAGGCAGCCTGTGACATTAATGGAGTGGCGTGTGAAAGATTGCTCCAGTGGGTGTGGGATTGGGGCGTGTGACAGAGTGCCATCCGTGTTGGTAGTTCAAGTCCTCAGCTCCCCAATGACAGGGCCAGAGATGTTTCGTGACAATTTCGTGCCCGTATGTCGTCTGCTGGACCAGACGGCAACTCCTCCAACTGGGCGGTTGCCTTCCGACCTGACTGCTGGGGTGGAAATTGGGAACCAGCCGAGGCGGATACACGCCTCCGAAGCTAGTTGAATTTCATGCGGATCGTCTACGAGGGTCTCCTACAAAAGAATTACCCTTAGGTCCTGGAATTGGCTCAAGGCCCGGCTCAAGGCCCGGCGCGGCTGGATTAATCCAGCCCCCTTGGATTAATCCATTCCCCTACTGTTATTCTCTCACCATACCCTTTCCCTTACCCGCTTGCTGCCGCGATGCCGGCAGAGAAGCACCACATGGGGACGCCACTCGGAGGAGAGCGTAAGCAAGCTCGCCTCGATTCTCCACTGGACCAGATGGATGGCGACAACGAGGTTGGCGGAGGTGGAGGAGCAGGCAACACTAGCCAGGAAGACATGGACGTAAAGGAGATGATGAGGGTCATGATGAAGGACATGAAGGAGATGAAACTGATGATAACGAGGAGCGAGAGGATTGCGCAGGAGGCTAAGGACGAGGCGACGTCGGCGAAACAGTCGGCATTCAAGGCGACCTTGGACATCAGCGGCCTGGAGGACAAGTTCGATAAGTTCCAGCAGTCGGCCGTTACGAAAGAGGACGTGACCAGGATGATCGAAGAGACGATGTCTCAATGCACTACTCCGCGCAACTTGGCTACGACGTCCATTCCATCCACAGCAACGGCCGTCGTCGGGAACGTGCCCAACGCAACGACCTTTGAGGATGCAGCGAAACGGGCATCTACTCTCTGCATGGACCATGGCCTTCCAGCCCTGGCGGCCCGGAACATGTACTGCAAGAGCGAGTTCAAGGGCGTGTTCTTTGTCAAATTGATGTCGGACGCGTCGCGCCAGATGTTCCTTGACACTGTCAACTCGTTCGCGAGAGGGCAACCGGGGGGCTTCGGGAACACTGTCTGGGCGAAGCCGGACCTCCCTTTCGACATCCGCATGCAGCACGGCGTCCTTTTCGGGCTCCGCCGGCTGCTGGCGACGTGGGGCTTCAACAAGACGTGCGTCAAGGTCAACACGGATGACTCCTCCTTGTCTGTCGCAGGGACCGTGGTGGCCAAGACGGTGGTGAAGGACTACCAGCTGGAGCTGAAGTGGGTGGACCAGGAGTGGGGGAAGTGGGATGCACTGCAGTCGTCTTCAGAGCTCTCCGAGATCACCGCCGGCGCCCAGGGGAAGCTCGACAGGGCGAAGGCCTTCCTCGAGAGCAAAGGGAAGGGGAAAGGCCCTGGACTCCACTAGGGGTCACAGCGGTGTGTGGGCGAATGCGACGTTTCACCCCTCGTGGCGGGGAGCGGCGAGGAGGCGGACCTGTGCGAAGATGCGGGCCGCCACAGTTTTGACAGTTTGGTGAGGATTTGCTCGTGGAATGTTGAGGGAATGACGGATTTAAAGGAGGGCGAAATTTGCAGATATATGCGTGCGACTGCCATCGATATTGTATGTATGCAGGAGACGCACCGGCCAAACTCTGACCACTACGACACAGAGGACGGATATCTGGTGATCCTGTCGGGCAGTGCTGGGGTCCACCGCGAATCAGCCGGAGTGGGTTTTGTAGTCGCTCCACAGATGAGGCGTAGAATTTGCGGCTACTGGCAGTTCGACAACCGAATTGCTACGATTAAGATCCGCACAGTCTATGGTAATATTACGCTGTGTACTGTTTACGCTCCACACAACGAGAAACCCACAGAGGAAAAACTCGACTTCTACGATCGTCTTCAGCGCCACGCACGCTGTCGGATTATCACAGTATGGTCCTAGATATTTCTTCGGGGATTGGAATGCGAGGCTAGGCAAAAGACGTGCTGGGGAGGAGGACATAATGGGCGAGTACACGTTTGGTCGCGAGGCGAAGAGAAAGGTCGACCTTCCCAACCGGGACTTGTTTACAGAATTCTGCATGGACCTCCAGCTCCTCGTGGCGAACACGCTGAAACTCCACCCGGCCGATCAGACAGCGACGTGCCATGAACCATCCGTTCGGCCTGGCAGTCCAATCAACGACGTCGGCTTCAATGTCTTGGATTACTTGGTTATTCCTGCTGCTCGCGAGCAGGACCTTGGAGATATTCGAAGCGACACCTCTGCTACTCTAGCTTCACATCATTTCCTTGTGCTGGCAACCATTGTGGCGGGCGCGCCAGAGACCTCTGAGCGCCGGCCAGCAAACCGGCGGAAGAATTGGGCCACCCTGCAATCGCCATCTGGGAGACGAGAGCTCACGAAAGAAGTTGGACGTCGCATGGAAGAGTCCGCAGGGTTACATAGTTTAACGCTGAGCTGGAAGACGGCGTCTGCGCCTGTCATGGCGGCCGCGGACACCGCCGTGCCATATTTTCCATGCGCAAGCCGAACAAACCCTGGATCTCAGAGCGCACGCTGGCACTCATCACCCAGAGACGCCATGCGCGAACTGCAGGCGATTGGAGCGCCGAGCTGCGACTGAGAAACTCCGTGAAGCAGTCGGCCAAGCAAGATCGCAGTACGTGGCTTGAGAATCTGACAGCTACTGGAGACTGGAGTTGCATCAACAAGATATCAAAGGGCAAGGGCCGGCCGCAAGGGCGACTTCACAATCGAAACGGCGATCCGGTTACGACAGACGAGCGCGCGGAGACATTCGCGGAGCACCTCAGCAATATCCAGTGGCACGTGCGCCCTACAACTCTGACGCCAGTCACAGACGATGCGATCTACCAGGCGTTGAACGTGAATCTGGATCGCTTTACGGATGCAGAATTACGGCGTGCCTTACAGAAGTTACGCCCTGGAAGATCTTGCAAAAGAGGGGGCATCCCAGTAGAAGTTTACAAAGCTCTCGCTGCTGAGCCAGGGCACTTGAAGTGGTTGCTCGACATATGCAATGCCGCGTGGGTGGAGAAACACCTGCTGGATGATGGGTGCGAGTCTCATGTGAGCTTACTCTACAAGAAGGGCGACCCAGCAAATCGCGACCACTACCGGCCCTTGTCGCTTCAATGCGTCGCCATGAAAGCATTCTCCGCCATGCTCAAGTAGAGGCTCCTGGACGCGGGCGTGGATGAGAGATTGTGGGCGTCCCAATTTGGTTTCCGACCTGGTCGCAGCACCGAGCGCACCATCTATGTTGCCCTGAGGCGCATAGAAACAGCCAGGGCGAAAAAAGGAGGGGCTGTCACCCTGGTGGCGCTGGATTGGAAGAAGGCATTTGACAGCGTACACATAGAGAGCCTGCTGGGCGCGTTACGGCGGATTGGCGTTCCATCTGAGTTCCGGGAGATGGTCGGTGTGATGATGGAGAGAAGGATGTTCGTGGTGAGGGAATGCGACAACCAGTCCGCTCCCAGACCCCAGCTTTCTGGGATCTCACAAGGTTGCACCCTCAGCCCGCTGCTGTTCGTCCTGGTCATGACTGTGCTCTTGCACGATGCCGCCTCGAAGCTTACCGGTGGAGCAGAGGAGGCGCGCGTCAAGGGCGACGTGTCCGAGTGCGTTTACGCAGACGACGCGCTCTGAATCGGCTCCAATGAAGAGCACTTGAACGAGCTTCTGGGTGCCGTTGCCTCCGCGGGCACGCGCTACGGAATGGAGTTGCATTGGGGCAAGTTTCAGGTGCTCGCAGTTCAGTCGAAGGGCGAGATATACGCCCCTGATGGTACTGCCCTCAGCCATGTGCAGCACGTAGAATACCTTGGAGCACATCTGTTGGCAGATGCAGACATGGGCCACGAATTGGGCAGAAAAATCGGAGAGGCCAAAAGGAATTTCACAACGTTGCGAAAAGTCTGGTCGCATTCTTCCTTGACCTGGCCACGAAAGCCGCGGATTTACACATCGATTGTGGAGTCTAAATTATTATGTGGGCTAGCAGGGTCGTGCCTGACAAAATCGCAGCTGCGGCGGTTGGGCGGCTTCCCGAACAGGTGTGTCTGGCAGATCATAGGCGTCCGACCTTCATGGATTTCGCGCGTACGGAACACAGACGTGCTGAGCCGTGCAGACCACGCCCCAGCGAGCCAGCAACTTCTACGCCGGCAGCTCCTGCTCTTCGGTCAAGTGCTACGCGCCGATCGAGGACACCCGCTGCGGACGTGCACGTTCGCTTCCGGCTCACTGACACCACAGACAGATGCTACAACGAGGAGGGTTGGTAGGCCATTGGTAGCACGGCAGCAGCCGAGGTTGCAGCGCAAACTTGCCAATACGATCGTACTATACGCGCCCTGTTTTAATTCCACGTGCACTCCTCCTCCTCCTCCTCCTCCTCCTCCTCCTCCTCCTCCTCCTCCTCCTGGTCGTCCCAGTGTGACCCATTTGCGCGCCGTTCCCGTTCGTGGTGCCCTGAGCCCCCGGCGCAGAAGTGCAGCTTCTCACTGGTAGCCGACTGCAGTGTCCCGGCGTGCAGCCAAGGCCCTGGCTCTTCTTTAAGCCAGCGTTCATGCCCACGCACCGCTTGGTGTATGGTTTGTCAGTCAGCCTGGAATCCTCCCTTCTCTAAGAGGGGGCGGACCGTTGTCCAGGCATCCCCATTAAAGGTGCAGAGGGACATCGCCGCAGAACTCTGTGGGATGACCAGTGCTGACAAGACTGGCCGGGGCTCAGGGGGTATTGTTGCCCTAATTCTGGGCCGCCCTCTGCCCTTGCGGCGGCGGCGGTCGGCTCGCCTCTCCCCAACCCAACGCGGTCGTTACCTCGTCGGGGGCGGCGCCGATTGGCGGGAGCGGGCAGTCGCCTCCACGTCCATGGCCGCCGGGGCTGCGGGCGCGCCGGGATTTCTGGGGGCGCCCGGGCTGCGCTCCCCGCGGCGTCGGCGCTCGCCTCGCCGGCGAGCTGCTCTGTGGCCTCCTCTTTCCGCCTCGGAGGCTGCGGCGACCAGGAAGATTTTCGAGGCACATTTTGCCTCTGGGCCCGTGCCGGGGACTGGTGGTTATGGTTCTTCTGACTCCGGAGGCTTGTTGGTGGTGCCTCCAGTTCTGTGGGGTGCTCCGTCTGGATGTTGATGTCGGGATGCTTGCGGAGGAAGTCCACAGTGTCTGCCACGGTGGGCTTCTTAACCCCCGCGGTTATCGGCGGATCCATTCGCAGCTTGAGGGCCTTCTGCTGCTCCCGGGTTGCGCGGATGTCCATGACGAGATTGAATCTGGGCGGACATGGCGGCGTGCTTGCCGCAAAGGCCGTCGATCTGGTCGCCTATGGACTCCATGTCTGTGATCTCTTGATCGAGCATCTTCTTCACTTTTGAGCGCCGCGCAGTGACCGCCTGGTACTGGTCTGAAGTGCTCAAGGCTAGAAACTCCTTCTCGAGGCGCTTCAAGCGTTCCGCTGCTGCCAAGTAGTTCTGGTTTGCCCTTGCCGTGCCCATCTTGGCATGTTGCTCGTAGAAGTTGACCTCGGCCTTGGCCATTGCGACCTTAGAGAGCGGGTGGGTCGGAAGCTTGGCATCTCTCCACGCTGGGCCCTGTGGGGGGTCCTCGACTGCCGCCCCTTTGTGTCTTGTGCGGGGCAGCCGTAGGGCCCGGGGGCTCTACGGTGGAGTGGAAGGGCGATGGAGCCGTCCTGGTGAAGTCGGAGTTGTCCTTGGCGCGGGGGAAGTGCTGGCCGTCGCGTTCGGGACGCTGTCCCCGCGGGGGTGGTCGCCGGGTGCTTGGATGGCTAGGCGTCGGTGCTGGCACGGTCGGCGCGGGAGCGGATGCTGGACATTCGTCCCCGCGGCTGCACGTGACAGGATGGCCCAGTGCGTCCACAGGTGCTCGCTGGAGTACGCCATCGCATCGCGGGTGCGGGCTTGGACGAAGCCCTTTGTTGCCCTCTATGCGATGGGTAGGCTGAGCCAGGGCCTTCATGGTATGTGCTGTGTGAGTCGGGGCGACGCCGCAACACTTGAGCCTTATCGATTGCGGAGGTGGATGGGGGGTGTTTGCGCAGGATCCTTCAGAGCTTCGGAAACATTGTATTGCGTCCGCTCTGTCCCACGTCGCCCCACGACCCAACGAGAGATAGGACCCTGTGGATAGTGGCAGCGTTCACCTCCAATGGTAGATCTAATTGGGCAAGACAGGTTTCGTTCCCCCGCGGGGCCGGTGAAGCGATGGCAGTTGGAAATTTCTGGGTCCCTGGTGGCCCAGAGACAATGGAGGGCATCTCAGTTCTGGAGATGTGGCCAGAACTTTGGGGGGCGATGTGGTCTATCCTGGGAGGGTGTGCGCCATCTCGGAGTGGTCCAGGGAGGGATCTCGTGGTCTTGGGGCTGTCATGGGTGCCATCGAAAGTTCTACTTGGCTGTATTGGGGCCTAATCGGCCGTAGAGGGGGAGCGACCGAAGTGGCTGCAGGTCCCTCCAGCACCCTTGACTGGCGGAGTGGAGGCCTCAGAGCGGCCGGAGCCTCGATGAGGGAAGGAGGAAGAAATCAGAGGAGAAGGTCCCCTTGTCACCCCCTAGCGTTGTAGCTGAGAAAGTGGCGTAAGTGGAAAGGGCCGGCGGCCTCGTCGCCGGGTTGAGTTTAGTAGATCAAGGTCCTTTGGTACGTGTGGAAGGGTATGCAGGACCGCCAGCATTGCCACTGGGCGGTGTCCTTGAGGCCAATGCCTCGTGTCTCGCAGGTGGAGTGGCTGTGCAAAATGGGGTGAAAGCAGGATCGCCGGCATTGCCGCCAGGCTGTGTCCTGGAGGTCAGTACTTCTGGTGTGCGAGTGTGGAGTGGAAGCGAGACCACCAGTATTGCCGCTGGGCTGTGTTCCGGAGGTCAGTACCTCTGGTCTGCGAGTGTGGAGTGAACGTAGTACCGCTGGCATTGCCGTCGGGCTTTGTCTCGGAGGTCAGTAATTACCTTGGTGTGGGAGTGTGGGACGACAGGAGGACCGCTGGCATTGCTGCCGGGCTGTGTTCCGGAGTTCAGTGCTTCTGCGCTGAGCGAGTGTGGAGTGATAGCAGGACCGCTGGCATTGCAGCTGGGCTGTGTCCTTGAGCTCAGTACCTCTGTGGTGAGCGAGTGTGAAGTGATAGCAGGACCGCCAGCTCTGCCGCTAGGCTGTGTCCTGGAGTTCAATACCTCGGTGGTGCGAGTGCGGTGTGGATGCAGGACCGCCAGCATTGCCGCCGGACTGTCCTGGAGGTCGGTACCTTCTGTGGTGTGCGGGTGACGATTGAAGGCAGGACCGCCCGCATTGCCGCCGAGCTGTGTCCTGGAGGTCAGTACCTCTCGTGTGCGAGTATTGAGTGGAACCAGGACCGCCGGCATTGCCGCCGGGCTGTGTCCTGGAGGTCAGTATCTCTGGTGTGCGAGTGTGGTGTGACAGCAGGACCGCCGGCATTGCCGCTGGGCTGTGTCCTGGAGGTCAGTACCTTTGGTGTGTGAGTGTGGAGTGGAACCGGGACCGCCGGCATTGCCGCCGGGCTGTGTCCTGGAGGCCAGCCAGCATCCTTGCTGGCCCCTTGCCGCCGTCTCGCCGCTGCTCACTCCGACGGGGGCTCGGCTGGGGTGCTCGTCGGGTGTGGCTAAGCCGCACCCTCAGTGACGCCCCGTGCGTCCCCAGCCGATTCCCCCAGAGGAGTTTGGAGCAGCAGTGGCACGGGGAGGAGGAGGAGGAGGAGGAGGAGGAGGAGGAGGAGGAGGAGGACGAGGAGGAGGAGGAGGAGGAGGAGGACGAGGGGGGGGAGGAGGAGGAGGAGGAGGCGGAGGGCGGCGGCGATGACGATGGCGATGGCAGTGGTGATGGTAACGACGATGGTGGTAATTCTGTTGCTGATGCTGATGCTGCTTGCTGTGAGAACGAGCAGGAGGATGCGGAGAGCGAGGATGGGCAATTAGATGAGGAGGAGGATGAGGAGGGCGATGAGCAATCAGAGATCGTCAATGCGGACAATGATGACGCTGCTGATGATCAGAGCGTGAATTACCTACCCTGCTTTCGCTTCCAGGCAACGCCAAGCCATACCACGCGCCTCATCGTCGAGCGGCCTGACCAGTACAGGCTGCAATTTGGCATCGTTTGGTATCTCTTGGAAGCGAGGGTGGTCAAAGGCGCGGTAGGTTTGTTTTCCCCCTAGATGATGCTGATGATGATGCTGATGATGATTATGCTGATGTTGATCATGCTGATGATGATGATGATGATGATGAAGAAGAAGATGCTGCTGCTCCTGATGATGATGCTGCTTCTGCTGATGCTGCTGCTGATATTGATGATGATGATGATGCTTCTACTGCTGCTGATGACGGTAGTGGCGTTGATGATGCTGCTGCTGACGACGACGACAACGACCACGACGACGATGATTATGATGATGACAGTGATGGTGATGAAGGTGCTGAAGATGCTGCTGATTATGATGACGACGATGACGATGACGCTGCCGATGATGATGCTGATTTTGATGATGATGCTGATGATGATGCTGGTGGTGGTGAATATGATGATGATTATATGATGCTGATGATGCTGACTAACACGATTATGACGATGATGATGATAATGCTGATGCTGATGACGATACTTATGATGATGGAACTGATGATGCTGATGCTAATGATGCTGCTGCTGATGATGATGATGATGCGGATGCGGGTGATGGTGATGATGATGGTGACGATGACAATGATGATGCTGATGATGATGATGCTGATACTGATGCTGATGATGATGCTGATGCTGCTGATGATGTTGATGATGTTGATGATGCTGCTGCTGATGATGGTGATGATGATGCTGATGATGATGCTGATGATGATGCTGATGGCGATGATGATGATGATGATGATGATGATGATGATGATGATGATGCTGATGATGATGTTGATGATGATGGTGATGGTGATGGTCATGTTGATGCTGCTGCTGATGATGATGGTGCTGATGATGATGATGATGATGACAACGATGTTGGCGATGTTGATGATGATCAGGATGAGGATGAGGATGAGGAGGAGGAAGAGCTGGAGGGCGAGCAAGAGAGGGCGCTGATATTTTCTAACAGATAGCGACGTTAGAGGCAGGGACGAGGAGGGAGGGAGGTGAAGATGGTGGTGGTGGTGGTGGTTGTGGAGTCGCCATGTCCCGATGCGGCCGCTCGCTTGCGGCTCAAGCGGGTTTTGATGTCTTCAACGCCTTGAACGTGATGGAGAACGACCAGTTCCTGAAGGAGCTCAAGTTCGGCA